AGCTGAGCTACTCCGCTGCCCCTAATATTTGATGAAGGACACAGATACTCCATAAATACAAGTACCATATAATCAATATACTAGTATCAGTCAAAGGGTTTCTCTGGAATTCTAAACTATGTGCCTTTGGCAAGTAAAACTAAATCAAAATATTGTTACAGATTTAGTTTCTTTTCATGCTCTTATTTCATGATTCTGAGAAATTGGGAATATTTTTTGTTGAAAATGGCCTCAGTGTAGTCTAAAATCAATCCCTCATCCTGCATTTTCTTCAAATACAAGAAGAGATAATGGTTGGTTTCTTGATAAAGATCAAGTGAAGATATTAGTGAAGTCAATTTCGGGGAAACATCAAATATAACTGTGATGTCATCAACAATGGAAGAAGTCATCTGCAATTATTTACAACAATATGTCCTGCTACAATGGGCCGAATTCATAAACTATAAAAGGGGCAGTGGTATAACCTTGTGGTAAAGGTATTTGCTCAGCAAAAACCCGCCATGAGAACTGCTGGAATATTCTCAATAGTAGTATAAAGCCAAACTCACTCACTCACTCACTTCTAACAAATGAAAGCATTGAATGAGCCAATGTCACTAAAACATATCTTTTGCTCAGTAAGAATTATATACTAAGTATAATTTCACAGATCTTACTTGGACAGCATAAATGGCTTAGAGGAAGGAAGTAGGACTATATTTCATTTCTTGGGAGAAAGGGACACTTTTCTACTTTTTACTTTTTTGCTAACAAACACAATTTTGTCCTAAAAACAATGTCATATGTTGAGGATTGTAGTTCATGGATAGCAGAGTATGCCTCAAATGATGTGAGAAATTTGAAACATATTTACTTATTATAAAAGTAAAAAAATGGCTAACATGCACGGCCTCATGGAACACATAGTTTATGTGCGACTTGGTACGAGATTTTGTCCGAGTAAGACCTGATGGGATTGAAGCAGATAGAGTTTGGGCTAGTGTTTACAGTGTCAATAGTACTAAAATCAAAGACAAGAATGGAAACATATTCATTTTGGATGATGGGTGTGAGTGAGTGAGTTTAGTTTTACGCTGCACTCTGTAAATAATCGAGTCTGGACCAGACAATCCAGCCAGTGATCAACAGCATGAGCATCGATCTGCGTAAGTGGGAACTGATGGCATGTGTCAACCAAGTCAGCGAGCCTGACCACCCGATCCCGTTAGTCGCCTCTTACGACAAGCGTGGGTTACTGAAGATCAATATTCTAACCCGGACCTTCACGGGTGTTTGGATGATGGGAATCAAACCACAGACTCCCAATGAGTAGTAACCTGGTACACTGACCATTAGACCAAACAAATGGTTGAAGACACATGGTACATGTGAAGAAGGTACCATGTTCACATTTCCTGTATAATGATATCCAGACAGACTTCTACACATAGTAAACAAATATCAAAGTTTATGTTGTTTCCACTGTATGTGTCAGTGAAAACATTTCTCTAGGCTTTGAGTTGAAATTGTATACAATGTGAACTGTAGGATTCAACAACTGGCTACAAACCTGAAATATTTCTAAAATCCATAAACCTAGAGACCTTTGAATAAGTATTTAAAGTCAAAATAAAAACAATGCAAAAAATCTCCTGACATAATCTCCTGTACAGTGATCCTGACATAATCTCCTGAACAGTGATCCTGACATAATCTCCTGTACAGTGATCCTGACATAATCTCCTGCACAGTGATCCTGACATAATCTCCTGCACAGTGATCCTGACATAATCTATTGCAGTGATCCTGACATAATCCCCTGCATAATGATCCTGACATAATCCCCTGTACAGTGATCCTGACATAATCCCTGTATAGTGATCCTGACATAATCTCCTGCACAGTGATCCTGACATAATCTCCTGCAGTGATCCTGACATAATCCCCTGCTGTACAGTGATCCTGACATAATCCCTGTATAGTGATCCTGACATAATCCCTGTATAGTGATCCTGACATAATCTCCTGTACAGTGATCCCTGACATAATCCCCTGCATAGTGATCCTGACATAATCCCTGTACAGTGATCCTGACATAATCCCTGTAGATCCTGATCTCCTGTACAGTGATCCTGACATAATCCCCCTGTACAGTGATCCTGACATAATCCCCTGTATAGTGATCCTGACATTCCTGCAATTGACCCTGACATAGTGATCCTGACATAATTCCTGTACAGTGCTCCTGTGATCCCCTGTACAGTGCTCCTGACATGATCCCCTGTACAGTGCTCCTGACATGATCCCCTGTACAGTGCTCCTGACATAATCCCCTGTACAGTGCTCCTGACATAATCCCCTGTATAGTGCTCCTGACATAATCCCTGACATAATAGTGATCCTGACATAATCCCTGTACAGTGATCCTGACATAATCCCTGTATAGTGATCCTGACATAATCTCCTGGACATAGTGATCCTGACATAATCCCCTCCTGACAGTGATCCTGACATAATCTCCTGTACAGTGATCCTGACATAATCCCCTGTACAGTGATCCTGACATAATCCCCTGTATAGTGATCCTGACATAATCCCCTGTATAGTGATCCTGACATAATCCCCTGTACAGTGATCCTGACATAATCCCTGCATAGTGATCCTGACATAATCCTGCATGTACAGTGATCCTGACATAATCCCCCGTACAGTGATCCTGACATAATCCCTGATCCTGACAGTACAGTGATCCTGACATAATCCCTGTACAGTGATCCTGACATAATGATCCTGACATACAGTGATCCTGACATAATCCCTGTACAGTGATCCTGACATAATCTACAGTGATCCTGTACAGTGATCCTGACATAATCCCCTGTACAATGATCCTGACATAATCCCCTGCAGAGTGATCCTGACATAATCCCCTGTACAGTGATCCTGACATAATCCCCTGCAGAGTGATCCTGACATAATCCCCTGTACAGTGATCCTGACTGAGAGGAATCCATGTCCAGTGATTAAGACAGCCAAGAACAGCTGAAACTATCTTCTTTGGAAAATATATATAGGTAAGGCACCTCTGGCATTTTTCACTTGGAGACCTTTTCAGAATTCAAATTTAAATATGAAGCCTTCAATATTCAATGCTGATCAGAACCTGACATGCACAAATTCACAAATATTTACACACTAAAAGACTTTAAAATATTTGACTTATCAATAAGCTTAAATCCCTCACTAGAATGAAAGACACTGGTTACCATGCAAGGAGAGGGAGCAGCAGTTGGCACAGACTAAGACAATCGATGCTCCCTTGTCGCACATATCCTCCAGGCAGCTGTTTCATTCTGAACTTATGCCATGCTTAATCAATGAATCTGAAATTCCTTCTGGAGTATTTGTGAAGGTACCCTACAATAATCAGATCATAGCTCAAAGGTTACTGTCAATTTCCTGCCGTGGAAATATCTAGATGTGATTTTTGTGTCTAATTAGGTCCATCACTTAACACTTCTCTCTACAGTAAGAGAATTTAAGTCAGGGCATGAAGTCAGTTAGATTTCTGAAAACGTATTGATGTGTCCATAAATTGGGCATGTTATGTACAGTGGTTGGAGATGCAATGTTTTCACGTGATTGCAAGTTGCTGGATTGAGGAGCTTGTGAACTGTTTATGATTCCTGAGAGATGCAATCAAGCTGTAATGAAATCAACTTTTTACAAGAAGGGCAGAAACTGACTGGAAATCTGTTTCATAACAGCTAGGATCTTACATTCAGATAGTATCAGCTTTGCTTCAATGGCCTTTGCTGGAGTAAATGTGAGAATTAGGAGTGTGGTCTGACAATGTCTTCAAACATAGGTGAAAGAAATAGAAAAATGGGAACACCTTATTAGGTCAAAGGAAGTTCCCTGGTACAACTGACCAAATGTATTTTTACATCAAACTACAGCACTTTGCTAATTTCTGCCTCAGGTGTCGTAAGCATCACTTGCAGTAGACCTAGGTCTTAGGGTGAATTTTGCAACATTCCAAACTATGGTTTTGTGACACGTTAACAATCTTCCAATCATGAACAAAACACTTGTACCGCTCGGCCACTGTATCTCACCAAGAATATCATGATCACGATATCCCCAACCCATGGCACTCGTTTACAATAGAAGTCATTTCCAAAACAACATTTCAAAAAACTGCAGGCAATTCTCCCCACGTAATGACCTCCAACATGAGTAGCAGGTAGGACAATATCTGGCAAACATGACTAAAGCAATCACCAGTTTGATAGCGTCTCCTGAAGCAAACATGCCATCACTGGTGCCACATGCTGATCTATTATTCCACCAAGGACTTAATCATGCAACCACCATACCAGCAGGTAGCTGTTTACACGAGACCATTGTTCCCAGTCATGGCTATATTATGCGCAAAAATATTTTGTCCTGCACAAAACTACTGCCCACGTGATGAGCAGCATCAGCAGCGCTATGTGCAGTACTAACCTAGATAGAACCCAAGCGAGAGACTAAATCGTGCCAACTGCAGTTGCAGCAATATTAAAGGCATTTCAAGTGTGAGTGAGTGAGTGAGTGAGTTTAGTTTTACGCCGCTTTTAGCAATATTCCAGCAATGTCACGGCAGGGGACACCACAAATGGGCTTCACACGTTGTACCCATATGGGGAATCGAACCCGGGTCCTCAGCGTGACGAGCAAAAACCTTAACCACTAGGCTACCCCACCACCCCGAGTGAGTGAGTGAGTGAGTGATGTTTAACACCACAAGCACCATGGGCTGTGCTCAAAATGTTTGTGTCTACTACCTCTAAGAGATTGTTTATGTCTACCAGCTCTAAAAGATTTCAGAGATTTGTTCAATATAACTTTTCGTAACACACGACAATGTGTAATAGAGCACCAAAAATTGATGCACAAATCCATCACCATTTTCATAATAAAGATAACCAAATATTCGTCCATCTATACACTGGGAAGTTTCAGTTCTACCTTACCTTTAATAGTCTTCCCATACTCCTTGTCTTCATCCTCCTCCTGAGACAACAGGTCCTCCTTGGCCTTGAGCTCCATCAGCTTCCTCTTTTCCTGGATGAGAATTTTAGGGAAGGCAAGGAAAGGAACAGCCAGCATCAGGAGTAAGAGCCCACAGATAATGAAGCCGCCCCACCACGCCCCAATCCAGTTGGGACTGGATGTGGTGAGTCCCACGTCGTAGATGAAGGTATCGACGTAGTACTGGAGGAGAAGCGCCCCAAGAGCGTAGCCGAGGACTGGACCTAGTGCACCAGTTGCATAGATGAAAGCTGCAAACAAAGCGGTCAGCGTAAGGATACAGTGCAGATATATCTTGTACCTTCATGTTTATGTATCATGCAAGAGATACATCAAATGTCAGTATAAATGTCAATATCACTACTGTAGTGGAACAACGGTATCTTTACCGTCTCTGGTTCAAACAACATCCTTAAAGTCTTTGGTCTGAACAACATTTACCTTACAGTCTCCATTTCAAACAACATTATTTTAACACTCGGTGGTTCAAACATAATCATCCTTTCGGTCTGGGACAAACAACATTGTTTTAAACAACACTGTTGTTACAATGGCTTGACCAATATTATACTCCAACAACATTATCCTTACAATCTGATTCAAACAACATAATCTTTTTAGTCTAATTCAAACATTATCCTTACAGTCTATTTCAAACAACATTATCCTTACAGTCTAATTCAAACAACATCACCTTTTTAGTCTAATTCAAACATTATCCTTACAGTCTATTTCAAACAACATTATCCTTACAGTCTAATTCAAACAACATCAGTCTATTTCAAACAACAATATTCTTACAGTCTATTTCAAACAACATTATCCTTACAGTCTATTTCAAACAACATTATCCTTACAGTCTAATTCAAACAATATAATCTTTTTAGTCTAATTCAAACAATATAATCTTTTTAGTCTAATTCAAACATTATCCTTACAGTCTATTTCAAACAACATTATCCTTACAGTCTAATTCAAACAATATCATCTTTTAGTCTACATTCAAACATTATCCTTACAATTTCAAAACATTATACAATCTAATTCAAACAACATTATCCTTACAATCTATTATCTTTTCTAAACAACATTATCCTTACAGTCTAATTCAAACAACATTATCCTTACAGTCTAATTCAAACAATATCATCTTTTTAGTCTAATTTAATCATTATCCTTACAGTATATTTCAAACAACATTATCCTTACAGTCTAATTCAAACAACATCATCTTACAAATTCAAACAACATTATTCTTACAGTCATTTCAAACATCATTATCCTTACAGTCTAATTCAAACAACATCATCCTTACATCTATTCTTACAGTCTCAAACATTTCTTAAACATCAAACAACATTATCCTTACAGTCTAATTCAATATAAACAACATCATTATCCTTACAATCTACTTACAATCTACTTCAAACAACATTATTCTCACAGTCCATTTCAAACATCATTATCCTTACAGTCTAATTCAAACAACATTATCCTAATGGTCTGGTTTAAAACAAGATTGTTACAGTCTCTACTTCACATATCTTCCTTAGACCAGTCTACAACTTGGAACATCATTATTCTTACAGTTTCTGGTTCAAAGCGGCATTAGCTTCACAGTTTGTTACTTTGTAAAAACATTAACTATCCTTATATCCATCTAAATGAACAATGAACACCATACACACATAATGGCTAATTGTTTATCAATCCTTTTAGTCTGTAGATAGATCAGTGTTACATAACCAAACATTTTGTAAACACCTGTGTATATTTCTTATAGTATTGCTGCAGAATGAGGGGTATAACTAATACATTTCCCAAACACAAGTACTATAAATTCAAGTCCACTTTCATCTCCTCTAGCATGACTCCAAGACCCAGGAGAATTAACACATAAACTCTTAGTTTGACACAGATTGTGCAATATCTTAATAAATATTGAAGTAAGAATTGCCTCATAGCCAGCCATAACTTTAATTATGTAAAACTACCAGTCTCAGCTCAGAGCAAGGGTATAATCAAGAAACATTTTGGTAATCAATACCAAACCCTCACCCTTTGAAGAGTGTGCTTAAGACTTTGCTTTATCACATCTAATAAGTACACATCACAAAAATAAAGCCTGGCTCAGGTCTACATGGAAATTCAAAATGCGTTGTGGTTTTGCTGACTCTGCAATTCCACTGATCGGTTGAGTATGCCTCTGGTACAACGCTCGGTTCTCTGGCCAGACACACTCATAAAATAAAGAATGGTACTCCTCCTCAGGTGAAGGTCGTCCTGAGCAGGCCGATGCAGGTTTAGACACTTGGACAGAAATAACCCATGCTGGCCACAACTAGTCTTCAGTGGGAACATTGCCCAATTCTTGTGATTAAGGGAGTTAAGAGTACACTGGATGCATCTCATATGCTTGAGTTTTGTTTCTACAATACACTTACTTCAGGAGATTACAAATTTGAAAGAAAGATCGTAAGTCAATTATCAAGTCCGTTTTGTTAATTAGGCCCATGTTCTGGGATGTATCTAGACCAGTTCAGAGGCTGATGTTCTGCTGGAAGGCTGCAGCTTATGTTGGTAAAATTGCCCAAACTGAAATTACAAATTGCCCAAACTGAAATTACAAATTTCCCAAACTGAAATTACAAATTTTCCAAAATGAAATTACAAATTTCCCAATTCATATTCCACATTAGTGCCAGCTGTTAATATTTTGTAGAAATGACTAGTATTTCACTGACCCATATGGGGAACAATATCAATGTTTTCCTAAATTGTCTGCCAAGTGCACTTAGTGTGCAGGAATCCTCGCTGCCTAGTTAACATATTGTCCATACACATTTTCTCACAAGATGTTCACTTCTGAATGAAAACATACCTGTTTCAGTTCTAAAATCTACATCATTTTCAGGCTGGATCATAGGATAATGACTAGAAAATATCGCAAAATTACTATCGTTATACGTCTCACGATAAATTTTTATTCACGATAAGAAATATGCCACGACTCATGAATATTGTATGAAATTTTATATTTCATAGGGCATAAACAGTCTGCTTAAATATCTGGTCTCATACTTTAAAATATGTCAATTCTATTTAAATTTCTGATAAACTGGAGAGTGAAAACCAGTTAGAAAAGCATTAGAACATAATTTATATCTATGTACATAATACACTGATGATACTGTACGAACACAAAAGAAAGAAAGAAATGTTTCCTATTCATACACAGGTAGGGAAGTAAATGTTCCATGAGCAAAATGACACAGGACTAAAATATGAAATAAAACAGAAATGAAACATGAATCTATACAGGTATCACATATCATGTCATCTACTGGTGAATCATCACATCCATAATATTGACAGTTTTATACAAGCTTCATCATGCTCTCTCAGCGATATCTCGAGGCCTACTGAGAGGGTAATGAGTGCGTCATTCAAGTTGCAATGTGTTACTGTCTGCAGGCCAAATCTATACTTCAAGGCCGATTTGAATAAAGATACAGTACAATATTATTTGTAAGATATATGCAAATATTAACATTAAAGCTTACACTGACAAATCTAGGCATGTCATATGATCACATATTTCTCTGCGAAAATGGGTATCGTGATACGTATCGAATCATGACATGGGTATTGTGATACGTATCGATTCATGAAACTTCTGTATGGTGACATTCCTACTTTTGATAGGTTGAGTCCCATCCGGGATTCGAACCCACACCCTCAGAGTCAGGCACCTAATCGCCAGCATACAAAGTCAGCCGCCTAACCTGCTCAGCCACAGCGGCTTCCAGAAAAATGGAAGTCGGACCACTGGTAGTCTAGACTGCGGACTTTGTGTCCCCAGGTGATATGGCATTGTGAATTCAGTTTGTGCTCTTTGGCGCTGGACCTCTGAAGGTTAGAATATTGATCTTCAGTAACCCATGCTTGTAAGTAAGTGGCAATTAATGGGATGGGATGGTCAGGTTAAGCTGACTTGGTTGACAAATGATATCCGTTCCCAATTGCAGATCGATGCTCATGCTGTTGATCACTGGTCTGGTCAGACTCAAATATTTACAGACCACCACCATATAGCTGGAATATTGCTGAGTGCGGCGTAAAACTGAACTCACTCACTCCCTCTTTGGCGCTGGGTAGTACAACCATACCTACGAGATTCCTCATTATAATCAGCCCTTTACACAAGCATGATACCATTCTGCATTAAGATTTGAAGATAACTCTATAGAACAATAAATATAATTCTAAGCAGAGTTTATAATGGTTGCCAAATTAAAGGTCTTTCAAGACAAATAACCAAATGCCATATAAGGCTGGACTGCCAGGACATAGTCTCCAACTGTGAGTGAGTGAGTATGGTTTAAGCGCCGCTTTAGCAATATTCCAGCAATATCGAGGAGGGGAAACCAGAAATAGGCTTCACACACACAGTGCCCATGTGGGGAATCAAACCTGGGTTTTGATTGTAGCGAGAGCATGCGCTTTAACCACTAGGCTACCCCACCACCCTGTCACGGACTGACAGATTATTGTTTCCTAAAGAATAAGATTTTCTGGCAGAGATATGTATCAATGACTTCTAATGATCCTGTGACATAATCTGAACATTGTTTGACACATTGCACACACACCTGCGTTCAGGTTGAACAGCAATAGTAACAGTTTTAGTCCATCAGTAATGCAATAACAAAACCGAAAACAATTGTCTAGTCTACTAGTAATTATGATACTTCAACTATTGGGCAGATTGACAAGGACCATAGGACCATTGCCAACTTCTGTTGCTGTTTAATAAAGTGAAGAACACCATAGTCCAGGGCAGAGACCAAAGCAAGACCAGGAGAGTCATGAATGTGCCAGGATACATTACCCAGAGGATGCAGCCGAATGCTATATCTCGTCTGAAACATGCAACATGCAGCACAATACAACATCTACAAAAAGCATCGCTCTCAGAGGGAAGCAACTTTGGTTGTCATATACTTCTGGAGTGAGTGAGTGAGTATGGTTTTTTACGCCCGTTTTAGCAATATTCCATCAATATCCGCGGTGAGGGGACACCACAAATGGGCTTCACACATTGTGCCCATGTGGGGAATTGAACCCAGGTCTTCGGTATTGTGGCCGAATGCTTTAACCACTAGGCTACCCAACTGCCCCATATACTTCTGGAACTGATGGCGTGCAGATTTGACTGACTGGAGCAAAGGCTTCAGCTTGAATTTATATC